CATTGGCCTAAATAAGGGATACAACCTTTTTTTCGTCATGTGTTAGTATTCCCCAAAGTACATTGGTTTCCATCTTGTCTTCCATTCCTTCATCCCTAGCTAGCAACAGCCTGAAAACTCCACTGACACTGAGTCGCGATGGGTCTTGAAGATTTGCACTACTCCGTAGGACCAGAGCTTGCTTGAAGTTGCCCAAGTCTTTATACACGCTGACAACAGCACTGAGGAGCGCGACGATCATTTCAAACACTTATGTTTGCGTTGAAGGTGCGCTTGCAGCAAGGTACCGCAACTCCCCCTAAGCCCTGCAGCTGAAGAAGCTTTGAGCTGAACCTTGTGGAAGGTTGAGGGTTCCTCAAAAGACTACTGAACTTTTCAAGTCCTATGATCTGTGCCTGCATGGCAATCCTACACCTTGACATCCCTAAGCCTTGAACCTTATTTCCCAAACCCCAATCCCCCAAACCCTCATCTCTAAACCCTCATTAGCCTTAATTCTTACACACTCACACCTAAACCACATCAACTCGTGGCAGTGCCGACCAGCCGAGGGTGTCCGGCGAGGGCCCAGTGCGCCTGCACCACCAGGACCCAAATTTAAACCTGCAAGGTTTTTGGGGTTTTGGCTTGGGCCCGGGCACATAAGGTTCAGGGTTGAGGACAAAGTTCAGAACTGTACACTGTATGGTTTAGGGCAGAAGGGGTTTTGGGCTTAGGTGTGGGGTGTAGTGTTTAGAGCTTGAGGACAGAAGGGGTCGAGGACTTCAGGGGTTTGTTTTGGAGATTCGGTTAGAGTTTGGGCGGTTGCGGAGCTAGGTGCTGAAAGCCTCACAAGGCAAAGCCCACCCGTTGAGAATCCCAAACGGATCATGTAGGCATTATATGGGTGGTTGTCAAAATTATCGTCCCTTTTTGGGTCCCTATTATAATATGGCCCCTAATATTTAGGGCACCCAAAAAGCCACCCATATGGGTCCCATGTAGAAATTCATGCGCGCAAGATACGGGATTGTGTAGACTCCCTGGTGCTAGATAGGGTTTCGGGCAACCGGTTCTAGGGACTGTGTGTTAGTGCAGATCCTCGACTCTAAGGACTACAAGAATGATCCAGTCTTCAATCTCTGCGAAGCACAGAGTCCTAATATGGCTACCTAGTAGGGGTATGGATGGGTAACAGCTAGACCCTAAATCCTAAAGCCTAAACCTTGGACCCTAAATCCTAAACCCTAAACCTTGGACCCTAAACCCTAAACCCTAAATCCTGTACCCGCTGAGGTATAAAGTCTCAGGCCAGGCCTTTCGTATGACCTGGCCAGTCGGAGCGAAGGTTAGTTTTTATGTTTGAGGGTTTAGGGTTTAGGTTTAGGGTTGAGGGTTTAGGTTTGGCTTTTCCGGTCGATTCTAGCAGATTAAAGCAGGTGGTTGAAGGTAAGCCCTACACTTTCTGGTGTTTAGTAGGCAACAAGGGAACATAATCCCTGTATCATCCCTATATTGTAGATGCATCACAAAACCCAGTAAGTAAACCAAACCCTAAACCCTGAACCCTAAACGCTAAGCCCTTAACCGCGTATCCAGGTCTTGCGGTTTGGAGCCGTTCAAGGATGACCCCTACCCGACCTCACCCCACATGAGTTACAGTCTAAAGTTAGGTTGGAGGGGACCTATAGGGAATATATAGGGTTTTGGGGGGACCTAGTAAGGAATATACTAGGACTTCGTCCAGGGCTCACATGGGCTACAGTCAAAACTCCTAGCATCCCCCTTAATATCCCCTATAGTAGTCCCCCAAATAATCCCCTGTACAACCCTCTTTACGGAGTTTAGACTCTAGTTCCCATGGCGGTTTATCTGCTAGAAAATCGTTCCCGAGTTGACAGCTCTCCAATTGTAACATCGCCAGGTTTAGGAGCAATACAGAAATGCCTGGTACATGAGGATCCGATGAGGAAATTTCATACAACATCCCCTTAAGCAAGGACACAAAAATTCTAAATCTGTCTCTCACACTCGCGTCGCAGAAGTCGCATGTTATCCAATAAGTGGGAGCTTCTCAACACGGATCCCAGAGATACATGGGGATTGTGCAGAGGTTCTGGGGGTACTCTTTAGGGATTGTGTTGGCATTCTTTCCTTTTGAAAGACCCATACAGTTGATATTCAAACCCCTGCATGACCTTACTGTACTGAACCCCTTCAGTTCCCAAGGTATAAAGTACCTAGGATAATACGCGGTTAAGATCCCCCCTTCCTTGAAGCCGCCAGCCGTGTACGCCCGTTGCGCTTGAGGGTTTAGGCTTTTAATCGTCTCCACCCCTGCAGTACGACGTCTCGTCAGATGCTGGATCCTTGAGCCCCGAAACTCTGACGTGTATCGTTCACAGCCCCACTCAGACCGAAACCCTAAACTCTAAACCCTAAACTGCGTGGAAGTCTCGACAGCTTGTTGCTACTGCCGGAGCATAAGTTGATGAACAATCCTCAGATAATCCCTATGTAACCCCAAAAAGGGTGCCTACATTCACCCCTCCTTCAACACCGGGACGAGGAGGGCTTCGCCCAAATCACCCCGATGGAGAATCAAACGGAAAAGAAACTGCAAACTTAAATGAACGCTGCGGACATATAGGGTGTTCTCGGGATTGAATTCAGAGGATGTTCTTGCGTCCATTTTTCTGAGATTTTCTCTCGCATTCCTTGAAACAGCGCCAACAAGCCCCAAGCCACATAAAGTGCCGTCTTCCTCTTTTCCCTAAACCCTAAACCCTAAACCTTTATACTTTTTTGTATCCCATCCTCTGATGGCATTAACAGGTGTTACCTAACCTTTGTGAGCCAGGAGTTTAGGGTTTAGGGAATTCTAATCCCTAGCCCTAAAGCCTTAATCGCAAGCCATCAGCCTTAAAATCCCCAAGCCCTAGATCTGCATCCCCAATTAAACCCTCAACTCTAAACCCTAAACCCTAGACTCTGAACCCTAAGCCCTAAACCCTAAACCCTAATCCCTAAGCCTTAATCTCTAAACCTTAAACCCAAGCCTGAATCAAACCCCCAAACCCCAAACCCCACAGCTTGGGAAGCCTTAAGTATCATGGGTTCAACTAGTACCCCCCCTCTATACTACCCCCCTAGCTAAGTTCCCCCTTAATTAACTTCAATTAAGCCTAATTATCCCTAAATAACCGTAACTAAGGAGGGAACCCACGGGGTGGGTAGTATAGAGGGGGGTACTAATTGACCTAAACCCTAAACCCTATACCCTAAACCTAATTGAACCCATAATATATATATATATTTAAAAAAAAAAACGAAGACCACAATCAAGTTGGGTGGCCGACCGTGTGCGCTCGAGGTATCGGGCAACTGCCTGCCGAAGAGATGGAGATCCTCCGGCGGCCTGCGGGGTTTAGGTTTCATGGTTTAGGGTTTGGTTTAGGGTTTAGGGTTTTGGGTTTGGGGATTAGGGTATTGGGTTTAGGGTTTAGGGTTTGGGGTTTTGGGTTTAGGGTCTAGGGGTTTAAGGTTTAGGGTGGCTACATCCCTTGCTGGGGGTTATATAGGCTTATATAGGAGTTATAAAGGGTAATCATGAGAACCAAATGGAAAATGAATTCGAAAATAGGATGGAAAGTAGTATAGTGCTCTCTATCTGAGCCATAGTCTGAACTCCCTGTATCCCCCTTAATAACCTCCATAGTAGTCCCCTATAGAATCCCTTGGATAACCCCTTAGACTGTAGCTCATGTAGGCTCTAGGGCAACCCTTGTGAGTTGTGTTGGTTTTTTTTCTGAGTGAGCTGTGTTCGGCGGTGCTTCTAGGGCTTAGGGTTTAGGGCTTAGGGTTTAGGGCGTTTTGGCGGTTCAGGGTCTAAATCCTAAACCGAAAACCCTAAAGGCCCCGGGTTGGATGTAGGGGCGAGTGCCTTTTGAGTGGCTTTAGGATAGCACAAATGCTCATGGGGTTGTTCTTGGGATGTGCGGAAAACGAAGCATCGTAGGTACGTTTCTGCAAACGATGGGTTCCTTGAGACCTATTGGTGAACAAAATACTCTCCCTAACACCACCCAAAAAAGACACACACACACGCACACACACCTAACAATTCGTAACCTCAATACGAACCCAGAGGGCTTAGACTCAGAAATCTGCTGCAAACATGCAGTTCGGCCTCGTAATGTGTCCGCCCTGCATTCAAAGCATCCACAGCGCTTGCCTTGGCAAAGCAGAGTGTAACTATGAGCCACTCGGCTTCAGAATAGCCAGACTAGGGCAACCCCGAAACCGAATAGGCTTTAGGAAGCTCAGACGCCAACACGCAAAACACTATGTCTCCCCAGGAGACCTTTATAACCCCCTTTAGGAGCCATCAGAACCCTATTCCAGTAATTGCATGGAAAAAGAAAAAGGGAATCTTTTTCGAGTCGAGGCAAAGCGCCAAGATGCGAAAGCCACTCCGCGAGACACTATTGGCCTATCTAGGTACATTATGGAACACCCACGCTTCTACGACGGTAACCAGAGGGGACTATACTTGGAGGGTCAGGGGGACTTAGTGAGTAGGTTAATAAGGGGGATTATTAGGGTTACTATCTGGTTATTAACCTACTTACTAAGTCCCCCTAACCCTAAACCCTAAACCCTAAACCCTAAACCCTAAACCATAATATAGTAGTTTCCATTTTCTTTTCCATTATTACTAAGTCCCCCTGACCCTCCAAGTAGGACATCGTCTGGCTGTATCTTGGGAGCTTGCGCTTCGGAAAGGGCCTACATAATCACCAATATCATGTTTAGGTCTGTTTGAGGTACCCTGTACCATATCTATACCTGGAATCTAAGCCCATAACATTCGCAACTATTTAGATTTAGAGACTATAATATACTGTAATATACGATAATCTACTATGATATTCTATAATATTCTATAACTGAAATGTACTACAATATACCATGATATTCTATAATCTTCTGTAAGGTCCTATGATACCTAGCTATTTCCTTTAGGCTTGCTCAGACTTGGAATCCAGAGCGTCCGTGCTTGTCACGACTACGTTACCCTCAGCAAAGCTTTCCTGGCTCACATTGGCGAAGACGTCCCGAAAGGCACTGAGCTGGTCTGACCTGGGTTCTTGTTGAAATACCATTAACAAGATCTTTTTTATTGATATTGGGCCCATGTAGCCATAAAAATGTAAAATTTTGTTGTACAAGAGCCCTGTGACATCTTCAAGTGGTTTGTATGGTTTTGCAATACCAGGCCGCCATTTTTCAGCAGGGAGTGCAAGTTTTCCACATCTCTCTTAGCAAGAACAGTATCCGTAATGTCCACAACCACAGCATCAAAGCGTCGGCGCTGCTTGACCAGGTCTTGCAGCGCTTCCTGGGCGCCTGCAACATCGGCTTGCCCAGTGAACCCAAAGAAGCGCCGTGCAGCCTCTACCACGCCAGGAGATGCTTCTATTGTGGCTAGCCTGGGTTGCTGTTAAGGAATTTAAATCAAGTTTATGTAGACCCCTGATTAAACCCCCTCCTTTTAAGGGCCTTAATACTAGGACCCCTATTATCATCCCTACTATGGGGAGGGGGTTTATGAATCATGGGTCTTCATTAGTATAATAAGGAAACCCTTTTCATTACTCTATACCCAAGATATTTAACCCAGCTTAAGTTCCTTAACTTAACAGCAAACCAGTAGCTTGGCATCGGGGCATTCATGCGCGATGTAGCTTTGCATCGTCCCTCCTCCCAAGCCAAGCATCAGCAGCTCCATAGGCTTTGAATGGCAGCGCGCGGTGATTTTGCGAAGAATGGCCGCAACATACGGAAAAGCGTCACCCTGAAGTGTCTGGCGAAAATCTAACTTGTCACACTTCCACTTTTGCCTGAGGCTCCTGTCGTCGCAGCTGCCTGTCAACAGAGGAACCTGGGTTGCGGCGAAGGAACTTAAATTCAGTTACTATAATGGGTATATAGAAAAATTAATGTGGCTTCCCCAAAATAGTAACTTACATTAAGTTCCTTAAATCCCTATATTCCCCCAGTTTCCATGTCATGTTCCATTTTCTATCGCATTTGATTCTCCATTATAGGGGGATAATATATAGTGATTTGAATTAAGTTCTGCAAAGGCAACCCAGGAACTTTGCCTCTACACCGGACCTCAGACTGTACAAAACCATCCGTGTTCTCGCCATCCAGGATCAAGGAGCGCATATTCTCGGGGGTAACCTTAGCTGACTGTAGGAGCTGACTGTAGGATCCCCCCGTGGATTGTATAAACTTTCAGCCTCCCTAGTATAATGAAAAAGAAGCCCTCAAAAAAATAAAGTCTTGTAGAGCCCGGCGAAAGCCAGCTAAGAAACGGTGACATGTATTCGCTTATCACCCAAGACCCCGTCGCACACACCAATCCGAAAGCCAGAACCTGATCCAGAGCTTGCGTCCAGAAAGGATGCCAACCGCGATGTCTTCCTGGGTTGCTAGGTGTCAGGATAGTGGAGAATCAAATGGAAAAGAAAATGGAAAATGAAATGGAAACTGGGATTAGGGATAATGGAAAATCAAATGGAAACTACTATAGTATATTTAATATATAAGGTTATATAAGGATAATGTTTCAGGGTTTGGGGTTTAGGGTTAAGGGGTCAGGGCCTAGGGTTTAGGGCTTAGATTCCCCTACTACCCCCCCAAGGTTCCAACTGTTAGCCTAAATTGCCCTCATTAAGGAGAAACTCAGGGGGGGGGGGGCACTGTAGAGGGGGGATATGATGATGTTAAGGAACTGGAAGTAAACTATCGTTCAAGGGAATGCCAGTTATTCCTCCTATGTCCCTATCCTGATAACAAAAATTGTATTCCTCAACGAACCAGAAAACCCGAATGTAATCTCAGTTACGATTCTGCTTTCTATTCTCTTTGGTATCTGGTTCTCATTCTGGTACGTAACTTAACTCCAAACCCTAGACCCGAATCCCTAAACCCTAAAACCCCTACACCCTAAACCCTGAAACCCTACACCCTTACACCCTACACCCTAAAACATTAACCCCTACACCCTGAACCCTAAACTGGCGACTAAAATTGAGTTGCTTAACCTATGGCCCCCTCAGATCTATCACGAAAGTGCTACTTGCAATAGCTCCTCAGGTTATACTACATCCCAAGCCCTAAACCCTCAATTCTAAACCCAGAACCCTAAACCCCAAACCTTAAATCCAAAACCCTACACCCCAAATCCTAAATCCCTATCCCCTAAACCGTACATTTCGAAGGGAATATTGTAGTTTCCCTAAATAAGGAACCCCAATCTAGACCCCAAAATACTTTAATCCTTATTATAGGGACCCCCAGAAAGGCACCCCTAATTTTTGGAAAAATGTCACATGAGTTAACAGCAACCAAGCTTCGGTTGCCGCCACCGCAGAATTAGCTCGGAGTGATCCCAGTGATGAGCCACGGCATCCGCGACGCGTGGCATTGCTTAGGGTTCAGGGTTTAGAATGTAGGGTTTAGGGTTTGAGGTTTAGAATTTAGGTTTAGTGTTTAGGGTCTAGGGCGTAGGGTTTTAGGTTCAGGGCTTAAGGTCTTTGGCTTGGGATTTTGGATTTTGGGTTTACTGTCTGTTGTCAAGGGTTAAGCTGCCCTGATGCAGAATGACATGGAAAAGAACATTTCGAACCAAAATGAAAGTGAGGTTATGCCTCTAGATGATGATGTACAAAATCCTAAAAGCAGCTGTTGGTTAAGGTCACAGAACTATTGATCGAAGAAACCTTGCAATCTTGCACTAAACTATTGTAATTCCCAAGATGTTGGGGATTTGGGGTGGTGCCGTCTTTTCTCCATAAACCCAAAAATTTAAACCCAGAACCCTAAATAGCTAGCTCTTGCATCAGTCGCGGTTTGGAGAGATAAGGTGCGGAGAGGCTCGGTGAGTCCTGGTGAATGAATCTGTGTTCTCCAGCCGGCCACCAGGTTTAGGGTCTAGGATTTAGGGTTTTGGGTTTTGGGGTTTTGGGTTTAAGGTTTAAGGTTTAGAGGGTCTAGCGAATATTTCTAGACTGGCAATATTCACGATCAAGGGTGGTCAGGTTTATGATGAGAGGGGAAATTAGGCTAAAGGCTAACTACCACGTCACTGATGGAATCTCAACAGCAAAACAGCTGCACCATGCGCGAAGCTTTCCCGATTTGCCACAGTGCGTCATAGGGTCAAGCTTATATGCACCAAACTACTACAATCCTCATGAAAAGGAAAGGCTCATACCATCTCTGTCTAAGCCTGACTTTGCAAGCATACCTTGGGCCCCGGCGGTTATGTGATCCGGCGTGCTGAAGTCGGGGTCACCAACCTATCACAGGCTGAGGCATTCCCCAAGGAGGGAATCGGTAGGAACATGAAACAGAAGGGCTCCAATGCATGCTTTATGAGATATGATGCATCGAAGGTCGTGATGCAAACACCATGGCAACGTAAATTCTGGAGCACTTTACATCATCCCTTCAAAACGCCCAAAATCACCAGTTTTTTCGTGCGATTTGCCCAATAAGCCCAGTTTTCGTGTGACCCCCATGCTCTTTTCTATTTGGTGCTTCATGCTTGGTAATTTTTGCGCTTCTACATTAGGCCTCCATGCGAATGATGTCTTTGCCCTCTTTCTGAAGCGCGAGAGCTTTGGCAACCATCCTCAGCGAGAAGGCCTATAGTGTGTGGGGCATTGGGTTTAGGGCTTAGGGTTTAGGGTTTAGGGTTTAGAGTTATGGGCTTAGGGTTAAGGGTTAAGGGTTCAGGGTACAGACATGGGGCAAGCTGGCGAGCCAGACTTCCACGAAATCTTATCTGTACTTCCAGGGTCAGGTGGGCTCAGTAAGGGCGTTACTACTGGGGACAACTGGGCTTATTATGTGGCTTCTAGAGGTTGTGAGGGTTTAGGGTTTGAGGTTTAGGGTTTAGGGTTCATGCTTAGTCCTCCCAGCCCTCCAAGTAGACCACTGGAATGCATTTCAATTGCTATCAGCCATGGCGCTGATGTTCTCATGCTGAAAACGCTGCGTAAGGGCCCCCCAAAACCTTAAACCCTATGTATATTCCCAGCTATCCCTATATGCTCCCATAAAAGGAATCTAAGTATGGGGTACTTGGACAGGACTAGTAGGCAATAAGGGAACATAACTACTAGAATATATTCGCCTATTCTCTACAAACCCCCAGCCCCATATATCCCCAAAAATCCCTATATACTTTTACATACAATCTCACCATGTATTCCCTTTATAATATATTCTCTTGTTCCCTACAAACGCACCCTAAACCCCCAACCCCAAACCCTAAACCCTAAACCCTCCAACCCTAACCCTAAACCTCTAAACCTCAAACCCTAAACCCAAGATATGGAAGTTTCCCTAAATTANNAATTCATATAGGGCCCCGTATTATAATAGGAACCTAAATATAGGACCCCGTATTGACAGTAATTTAGGACAATCCCCATATTATGTTCCCTAAAATGCACGTCAGGCCACGAGATTGTGCCTTCCCCTCGCAGCACCGTAGCACGCTTGGCAAGAGCCGGAAGGCCGCTGCTGAAGCCTCTCCATGCCTCAAGGGCTTAGGGCTTAGGTTTTAGGTTTTGCGGGTTTGGGGCTTAGGGTTTAGGGTTTTGGGTTTTAGAGGTTTGGAGGTTTAGGGTTTAGGGTTTGGGGGTTTAAGGTTTAGGGTTTTGGGTTTGGGGAGTTTAGGGTTGGGAGGGTTTAGGGTTTAAGTTTTGAGAGCCTTTTTCATTAGGGGATGTAAGGTTTTGAGGATCCCTTTGCAGGCACTAGAGGGGCTGAATGGGGTTTAGGGGTTAGGTGCCTAGCAAAATAGAATAATGGAGATTCAAACGCAAAAGAGAGTGGAAAGCAAAAGGGAACTGGGTTCTGTTGGTTATCTCTGGGGTTTCTAAAAAAGATTACTTGGATTGTGGTTCTAGATTCCTTATATAAGTATCATAGTTCAGGATACCTCACACAAAGGGGAGTGATAGTATGCAGAGGCCTAAATAAATGGATTCGCGAGATGTGACGTTATCGTTCTAGAAGGATAAAAAGAAAACGCGATTATACTGGTAGTTATTCATGCTTCTATAATATCTGCAACAATCATGACAAGAGCCTTATATTGCAAACAAGAGAAGAAATCAGACCTATCTTTTGGCATTTGCAAAAATCTGGGTTCACCCCTGCGCATCCTCATAATCAGGGTGCCCTCAGTTTGGGGGAGAAGTGGTTTGCATTTTGGCTAGTACTGGCTTTACGCTGGACATTCAGCATCGCAGTTCTGCACTTCAAGTTCACATAGCATGGTCACTGAACTGGGTCCTTCTAGGATAAATTTAGCGTTTGGGGTAGCTTAAGGTCCCTCCCTATGTGCCCTGAGATAGTACAATCCTCGCTGTAAGCACACGCAGCAAGGGAGCCCTATTTTCTGGAAACCCCAATCCTTTTTGACCCGTACCGAATCCTTATAAACCCCTATGTAATCTCAATGTCCATTTCAGCTTCTACGTGCGTTTCCATTTGATTTTCCACTATCTGGGTCATATGTCCCGATACACCCCTATATGAGCCTATATAAACTCTATATATATCCCGGCATAACCTCAACCCTTAATCGTAAATCCTTAACTCGAAACCCTATAACCCCTTTACTAGGTTCCGCTGTAGCCCCTGAATAATAACTGTAATCCTTTTCCAAATGTCCAATTTTAATGACAGGAGATTCCCCACCCCCACCCCCAAAAAAAAAGTAAAAATGAGACTACTGGCGGAGCTATAGTCTGAACTCCTAGTATCCCCCTTACTAATCCCTAGAATACTCCCCTGTACTATCCGCTATATAACCCCGCCTTAAGGAGTTTAGACTATAGAAACGCTTAACCCTAAAACCTATATAATCCCCTATATTACCCCTCTCTGTGAGGAGTTTTGATTATGGCAAACCCCTACGCCCCCACACCCTAAACCCTACATATCCCCCCATAACCCCTGTAAAGGGACACCCTAAACCCTAAACCCCAGTTGTGTTGCAAAGACCAAGCTCGCGGCGTGGAGTTTTGCACAAGCTTTGGGACTGAATCGCATCATGCATGCCTTCTGAAGGGTTTAGGGGTCAAGGGTTAAGGGGATCACATGGGACTCGGCAGATTCCATTGGGTTTAGGGTTTGGGAGAGATTTACATACATGTCAC